CTCTCTCTCTCTCTCTCCTACCTCCTCTCTCTCTCTCTCTCTCTCTCTCTCAGAGACAGGTTCCTTTCAGAGACCGGCAGTCCCCAAACAACAGGACCCACCGAGCAAATTACAATTTCGACCACCGCAATGACCAGGGGGACAGGGATGGTGGCTGGAATTCCCACCCTAAACCTCGAGGTGGTGGGGCTCGCAACCACAACAAATATGAAGCTCGCAACCCAGCCGAGAAGCCTGGCTCAAGACTCGATAGGCCCGAAAGGTTTTGGGAGCCCACATTTAGGCAAGACTCCTTTGCCTCCTCTTTCCAAGCGAACAATGTTCACTTTGCACCCGCTCAAAACTCTGGGCCCATGGCCTATGGCATGTACCCTATAAACACAAACGGGGTGGGCCCTGCAGGGCCCACCATACCCTCTGTGGTCATGCTCTACCCTTATGACCAGAATGTGGGTTATGTGCCCCCTGATCAGCTTGAGTTTGGGTCTCTCGGCCCTGTGCACTTTTCGACAGTAAATGAGGCATCACATCTTGGAGATCAACAGCATGGGACTTATCAGGGTGGCTCCCCTGTTCCCTCCTCTCCTGACCAGCCCTCCTCACCTCAAATCCAAAGGTACATAATCCTCTCTCTCTCCCTTCTTTCCTTTTTTCTTCATTGGTAATTCTCTATCTTCTCTCAATTTTTTATATTGGTAAATATATATGTTCATCTGGGACTTGTTATCTAATTTAGTAAATAGCCATTTCGAAGCGAAAAAAGGAAAAGAGATACAAGCTCATCATGATTCATGCTTGTAACTTTATCCAGTCGTATTTGTAGGCCTTGATTACTGTTCTTATTTGCCACGTGACTAGCTTTTATCTCCAACAAAAAAAAAGTTGTGCAATATCCATGGCTTATAGCCAAAATTTTGGGTTAGCTGTTTACTTTTTCTCTACATACATAATTACATATTTATATGAACAATTGTTTCATGTGGGCTGGATCGCATTTCTACAATATGTGGTCCAAAGGTATAAAGCACCCATCTTAAAGCTGGATGCAAATCGGTGGTCCATCTAAAAACAGTTGTAACTAACGGTCCAAATGTTTTCTTAGTATAATTGTTATTTCTAGTTTTCAAATTTTATTTTTATATTTTTCATATTCATGATCTCCATGTTAAATATTATATATTCTCTAAAAATTAGAATCAAATTATGTTTAAAATATATATTTATTGCCAAGCCCTCATTTCTACAATATGCGGGCTGGCTGCGTGCTAACCGTGTCCTATTTGTATTGCATGTTGTTACATATGTGCATGGCATGTATTTATGCATCCCTATGTGTATAGTTTGTGGTTCTACATATGCATGTACTTACAAGCGTAGATTAGAAAGGATGGTATTGAAACTCCTGAGTGGGCTTGTGCCTTTGATATTGCTTGGTTGGGTTTTTCTTGGATTAACGTCAAGTACATGCATACTTCTTTTTTATTTTCTTTTTAATAAGTTTCAGATGCACTTGTTTGTTTTGCTGTTCTTTTAACATCAAATGTATGATTGTGCAATACTCTACTGTAGGATTGGTGACCTGTTGGTTTAATATAAATGCATCTCTTTTTTACTTTTAATCAATCACGTATGTGTGTATTATCTAAGAAATAGAATGGATGGCATTAATGTGCATTTGTGATGATGCCCTTGGATAGCCTGACGAGAATGCTCTTGGAAAATTCTGAACTTTCCACTGTTTAAAATGCCTTTTTAGTGTAAAATACACTATATGGTGAGTTGTGAGGACATTTCCCTGTATTTATGAGAATACCCAAGTTGTGCAAATGTACTGTATCATATACACCTACATGCTTATTGGTTTCTTGTATTTGTGAATGTTAATTGCTTGTTTTTTGGCTTCTTATCTGTTTTCCTTGTTTATTTTTCGTAGGGATCGCTCATGATGCTGTTTAGTGTGTATTATCTTACCAGGGGGGTTTGATTATTTTTGCCAGATCGACTGCTCAGAGGAATTATCAGTTGAAAGAAGAGGACTTCCCACCTCTAAATCAGGGTGGTGGTGGGAGCAACCCTAACCCTAGCAGAGCTTCCCATCATCAAAACTTCCTGTTTACCCTTCCCCATCATTCTTAACAGAAAATGCTGAACTCTGGGCCTTTGCTGGCTAATGTTTTCTTCTTGTACATTTTATGATGTGAACTCCTTTCCCATTTAGGCCTTAGTGTTTTTGTATGTACAATAGGAAAAAGAAAAAAAGAAGTCAGTCATTTTAACTTACCCATTTTACAAGGGTAATATCAGAGAGAACACGATGATGATAGGGACATGGGAAGAGGTTTCTCTTGTTCATTTTAGGGCTTTTTATTCACATTGCTTCATTGCTCATTTAAGTTTGATTTCCTTTTAGTTGTTATCTTCTTGAATTGGTATTTGGTTTGCTTGTGTTATGACCTTTATCCTCTCTCTTGTTGCACACCTTGAATGTTTCTTTCTAGGATGTAGCACATTTTTGGGAAGAGGATTTGGAGAGGCTTGCACAAAAGATGATATGGTTTTTTTGAAAACAATAATACATTTAACATGTATCATCATCGTCAAAGCTTTTTTCTAATTAATTGCGATCAGCTACAAGAATCTTGGTTTGTCATTCTGCTCTTAGGTTCATGATTCATGATAGGTTTTGGCAAAGTTTTATGTTTGTTGCTTATCAACCCTGTTCTTTTACCTGAACATGGGATGGGTTAAAGGAAAGTTTTATGTTTCAAATAATGCCTTTAACTTTCTCCGAACATGGGATGGGTTAAAGTAAAGTTTTGTGTCACAAATAATACCTTTAACATATATATGGAGAAGAATTATAAATGCGCCATGTTGTTAGATTCTTGAGACTTAGCATGGGGACTTCTTGATGTGAACCTAGGTGATGTTGAACTGATGAATACTGTGTTTGTGTTGTGTGTGTGTGAGAGAGAGAAGAGCGCACTTGGAGCAAGGTCTTAATTCCAAGTGTCCGTACAGCTCATTTGAGGCTAGATTTCGTTTCCTCCCTCACACAAAACCGGGAGAATAAACTGGGTTTCATTCAAAACGCAAAGTTTTTAGGGAAACCTACTCGTGCCATGATTGTACTCTTGTAAAGAAACTTGTCCAGAAATTTGTTATTGGCTATGCTTCCAACACCGTCCTTTTCTTAATAAACAATAGCTTTCAGCAAGAAAATTGTTGTAGGTGAAGTCGCTAGTAATATCAAGTTTTGTATAGCTTGTGTTGTAGGTGAAGTCGCTAGTAATATCAAGTTTTGTATAGCTTGTATTTTTCTGACATTCAAGTGAAAGTTGTATTTGTACTCAGTCGATTGAGAGCGCTTTGTCAAATAAAAGGCTCAGATTAACGGTGTTGCTTTAAGGAGTGGAAACTTTTGATGGTTTTGAACTTGCAGAGTTTCAAGACCTGGATTGATAGTTTACTCACATATCTGTGATTCAGAAAAATGCTAAAAAAGCAACGAAATAAAAATAAAATAAAATAGGGATTTATGGGATGGGAATTTAAAGGGTACCCAAAAAAAAAAAAGATACGTTTATAGAGCCGAGGCTCTAAACAATCAAATTAGAGCCCACTTTAAAAATTTCACTAGAAAAGGTTGTTTTGATGCTCAAATATCCTCCAATTGATCATCTCGACGTCTAGATCTATGAATATGAGAAAAAAATGGATTTCAAGTGTTGGAAATAGTGCATCTTGTAACGTATATTTGGACCGTCAATTTTCAAGTTTTCATAGATTTGCTCAATCTACACTATTTTTGAAGCTTTAAATTTTATAATTTACGATGAAAATATATTTTAAGGCTATAACAAAGATTTTCAATATTGAAACCACATTTCTCGATACTATTTGAAGGTAGGCTGTACTTTGATTGTTTAGAGCCTCAGCTCTATACAGACCGCACCGAAAAAAATATTAGATGTGCTTGAGAGAAAAAGAAAAAAAATCTATATGAGGGGGTTTTTAAGAGGAAACAGGTTAGGACTTATGCCGTACCGGAACCAGTTTGGTCTTGACAAATGGCAATCTAAATCGGCTATCTGGATTGGAAACCACTAGGTTTTAAACTGATTTGGTAGCGTGCCGAGTTATTCATATTACGATTTGGGTTCCTTCGAGGAGACACTGTACAATCGTGTGATTTGGAGCCAAGTTTGGTCACTTCCAAATGTCTTTCTTAGAATATTTTTCTATTTGCAGGAATTGTGTTTAGTTATTTGAGAAATCTGAGTGTTATCTTGATTTGGCTCCTCTCTATTCTGGATCTATTTCACCTACATAACCTGATATGGGTTTTTTCTCTTCTAAATTTATTTACCTTCTTTCATGGTGCTATATCTGATGGAACTAGTCTGTCCCAACTTGTCACTTTTGTTAAGTTTGAAGAGAATTGTGTGGGATAAGAGTTGTGAGGATATTTAAAGTCATTAATTCGCATTTCTTGAACATCATTTACTTGATTTTTCACTGTGAGCATGGCAAATGACTTCGAATGGCTCTTTGAGTACAAATGCAGCCATTTCAACAAATCTAGAAGGAAGAACAGTGGGTTATGGTCATTTCATTCTCAAAATTTTATGGGTGTGTAGGATTGTTGGGTATTTGGATTGATCAATTCCAAAACCTGTTAATGAAAGGAATCAAGATTCAAGGAAGACCAAAAATGAGAGGCAAGATCTAAAGAGGATCAGCAATTCGACCGGTCGGATAAGCCGGTCCAGTCTTGATAACTATGCTTTCCACTAATGTTATTTGTCTCTTCGCAAACAAGCTTATCGTCTCTCACACAATGATAGCACCCATGTCACCCCTAACACACACATTATCACATTCTCAAAAAGGCTAGCATATTGTTGTTTGGAGTAAACAAACCATCAAACTAATCATCTCAACGTCGAGAATTATAGATCCTAAAAGAAATAAATTTAACCCTAAAACAGTAGAATTGTTATGCATTATATCAACCTCACATTTTTCAAATATTTCACATATATACTAGATTTGTAGGGTTTTTGAGAATCAAATTTTACAGTCACGGTCAAGGTTTAGAACAGATTTTTGGCCCATCATTCTTATTGAAAAGAAAAAAAAGAGACGAATCTATTCAGAAATTCTATCTTATAATTAGCAATTCATGGGGCCGGGGCCTGGTTTTTTTAGTATTTTTCTCATCATAATTAACACTTGCGAGCTCACGGGCGAAGAAGGTTATACTTGTCATATGTCAATAGGAAAGTGACGCTAAGTCAGTCATTTTGTGTCGCTTTAGAAGCACATAGCGATCCAGATAGTTTCTGCCACAAGTGTAATCCCTCTGGAGTATATTATATATTTACTCCCATCTTTTTTCTTATCGAAAATTTTAGGATCCATCTAATCATAATTGGACTGATTGTTTTCAAAGAAAAACTTAGATTTTGAATTCTTTAGGATCCATCTAATCATCACTGGACTGATTGTTTTCAACAAAAAATTTAGATTTTGAATTCTTTAGGATCCATCTAATCATAACTGGACTGATTGTTTTCAAAGAAAATTTTAGATTTTGAATTCTTTTAACATTTAGAACATTCCCTCCAAAATTGGTTGTGCGATAACATTTTCTTAGGTATATAGAGTGTGAGAGTTAATCTTTTTTTTTTTTTTGTTTCCTTTGAGATTGGTTGCCCGTTCTATAGATCACATCCCTCAAATTTTGGGATCCAAAAGCATGAGTATTGCCTGAGGGAGTAGATGGATAGTGAACTCCCATGGGAGCACGGAAATATTTAGGCTTTAGTCAGGAATTATGAAGTTATTGAGGTGGACCTGCTCTCCTCCATCGCCATTAAGCCCATTTAAGGTGGGAAAAGACATCATATACTAATCCCAGGGTTTATGTATGCATAATAGAGATGCCTAACAATAGCATCAGCTTTGTAAAAATTTTTGAACTCTTTTAAAGTTTTAATCTAAACTCTCCACCATTATGAGGCCGAAGAACTTTGATGTGATGCTTTGTAAAATTTTAGAGTTCTTTAGTACACAAAACATCACGTATAAAATATTAAGGAAGGGTAGATATCCTCTATTCTCACAAATGGTAAAAAATGATTATCTTATTTCTCAATAAGATATGGAAACAATATCCCACTTTTCATAAATCTCTACTCTCTCTCTCACTCTTTACAATCTCTACTCTACAATGTATAAAATTTTAGTCTCTTTCTTTTCCGAAATATAGGAAATATATCCTACAACCTCTATAACGTTATGGTCATTTTTTATTTTCGCGATATATGTCCATCCGTTAACTCTTGTTTAATAATTTAGTATAGTATAATATATATTATAATATAGATATAGACAGGTAAATTGATATTAGATAGCGATAGATAGAAAATAGATGGAACATCTAGCTTCATATATCATAGACATGTAAATTGGTATCAGATAGAGATAGACAGAAAATAGATGGATAGAGAGGTAAATAATCATCCCTCTTTAAGCATTTTTCCATACTAACTAATGTTTATAAGATTTCCAATAATATTTCATAAAACTTCATTCATCAAAAAATATAATCTTATCCATTCCTCCACCATGAAATTCATTTACTAACATTCAAAAACTATAGGATAACAATTAAGGACCTAGTGTCTAATAATCACTTTCTAAATAAGTATAGGACAACAATTAAGGACCTAAGGTCCAACAACCACTTTCTAAAAGGAAATTATTATCAATCAGAGAGTGTTTCTAAAAAATAGTTATTATCAATTTATTTTATTCAGTAGTGTTTTAGGTATTTACTGTAAAGTACAAGGGCAATATAGTAATAAATCACGATCGTTGATAAATATAGATCATTAATCAGTTCACGATCGTTGATAAATATAGATCATTAATCTGTTGGAACCTAACTATAAGTTAAAGTCCTCCATTAAAGGCCGCATCTTTCGTCCGCTGAACTCAATCAAATTTCTAATGCTTTTTATTTTTCCCTTTTTTTTAGTTTTTTGAGGTGGATTTTTTCTGCTTTATTCGATAAAGTTGCAGAAGCTTGATCATGGCGGGATCCGTTTTCTTGCCTTTACTTTGATGCATTTTTTTTTTTATTTCACGTAAAGTGAAGTCTCACAGCGACAATCGGGGGACCTTTTTCTGGGAATGAAGTTGTAGAAGCTAAGCGAGGTTTCATGGAGAGATTGGCGTTCTTTTGCCTCTTTGACGTATGTATTGGGGTTGAAGTTCTCATTTTGAATGTTTGGGTTCTACGCTGTTTTTCTGCGTTTTGTGAGGTGTTCTTTTTGGTGCATTAGTGGAATGTTTGATGATTAAGAAGAAATTTTTTAGACTTTCTGCAATATATTTTTGGTTCATTTTTCAGAGATTGTTACAGTTGCATGAGAAGATCGAGTTTCTTAGTGGATATGTTTGCAATTTCAATTATATACTTGTATTTGGAGGAAGTTTATTTGAAAATTGTATTGAGAAGCTGAATTTTTGAGGTATTACTGCACAATTGTATTCTGTAATCTTTACCTGAAGCATTGAGAACTAGAGGGTTTCTTTTGGGAACATCTGGGAAAGATTTAGTTTCATTGATCCCCTGGTACAGTTTTTGAGGAATAATGGGCTATAGATAATCACACTTCTCAGAAGGATATCAACTCTCATATGTAAGTTTTTTCACTCCAATATTTCATCAGAAAAGTTAGGGGTTTGGATGGAAGATCGTAAGTCTTTGGATCGATTTTTCAATGTCTGTTGTTATGATGGGCGTTCTGACATCTGAGGATTTGGGCTTATGAGCAATGTATATGCATTATGCTTTTTTCTGTTTAATTGCAAAAATTCTGTAAATGAGATTCAAATTACAAGAGAAAATAAAAGGAACATTGAAAGTCTCTTTGAAGTCGAAATTATGAATCTCTCATCGCCTAAAGCATTTACTGGAGTGTCCCTTCTTCCAAGGTCTGTAATCTCCTTATCCATTGTGATAATTGTACTAGCTCTATGCCTAAGTCTTACTTCATTGCTCTTAATTGCATCACCACTTGGTTCAGCTGTTCATGGCTATCTTCTCGACATCAACATTAGTTCAACTGTTAATACTCTGAGTATGCCTAGGAATTCACGAGTTCCTGATAAAACCGCTGATCTAACTCAAGAAACAAGAAATATTACCCAAGCATTGGAAGATGGGGGAAAACAGATTGTTTACAAGGGTTCAGAAGGAGATTCCATTGATCACTCATCTTTCAGTGATTCTGGGAAATTGAGTTCTGGAGATTATGCAAATAGCTCATATTCAGTAGATGTTAGGGAAGGGGAGGGTGGTCTTAGTGTTTTAGGTAATAATTCAGGGAAGAAATCTTCTTCTAATGATTCTGGAAAGGCTAAGAGTTTGCCTTATGATGCTGGTAATTCTTTAAAAGCCAATGCAACTGAACACTGGCCTTCTGATTCCTTTAATGGTTCAACAAATGCTGGTTTACGTGATTTTATTAATGGGTCGATAACTTCTGGTAATGGGGAAACGAAGGAGAGCCCATTCATTGAACAGTTGGGTGCAGGTTCTTCCAAGGACTTGGTGAATGAAGGTTCAATTGAAAATGTTAATTGTTCCAGTTCTGCAATTGTTGTGGGTACAATGGGGAACAAGGCTAATGAATCTCTCGTATCTGGCTCTTTGAAAGATTCTGCAAAGGTTGATATGGGTAAATATGCCAATGACTCAACTTTTGCAAATAGTAGTGTTGCAATGATCAACCAAACGGAAGAACCTCTAAGTTCTGTTTCGAATCAGTCTGAAAAGTTTGATTTAGGTAAGCACATGCATCTGATTTTGGGTTTTCTTTGGTATTGAAGATTTTAATACTCGGTATTCTGTTTCTGGATGATAATGTGATTTTCATGTTGCTGTAGTTTAAGTTTTACGTTGGCCAAGCGTTCTAGGAGTGATTGATTTTACTCTCTCTTTGTTTTCCTAGTCATATATTGCCATGTATATACTGGATTGGTGTGGCATACTTACAGTTTTAAGTTTCAATAAACATTCATCTATTATGCATAAACACTTAACCATGATAAACTTTGGGTGAGGATTTCACGCATAGCAATGTGGCCTTTCAGTTTCAATAAACATTCATTTTTCTATTATGCATAAACACTTGACCATGATAAACTGTGTGTGGATTTCAAGCATAGCAATGTGGGCTTTCTTGTTGCGCTAAACTAGAGTTTGTTGTTTCTTCATTTAACCATATACATTAGCGTGTATAAGTTGTAGCATCTGAATTTTCATAAGTTCGGGTTTGCTCACACTCTGGTTCTGTAAGATGTAATGTAAGCTTGTGTCCTTCCTAACGAGCAGCATAGAGTGTTGTATATTCATACTGGAGCTGCTATTGGTCTTTGATTGAGAGTTTATCTGGTAACTGTGGTTTACTTTCAGATAGTTGTAAGAAATTTATCTTTAGTCCTTGATTGTTAGTTTTATGACAGTAATGCCTTCAATATTGCAATGAGAGGCTTGATTGTTGTAAAGCTGTCTCTGTTTCCTCCCTCTTTCTTCTCTACACATACCTTGCAGGTTCCAACATAATGTAATGCCTGAATTTCTCCCCGTTTATTTGTTTAAACATTACTCACCATGTTGTGTGTACCAAAGGAGCGCCTAGATCTAAGTTTGATCCAGGTTTCACTTCAACCAAGATTATTTTCCAAGAGAAAGAGCCGTACTCAAATTCTGGTACATTAGACTAAGGTTTCTAAGCCTCTTATTTTATAGAATCAGTTTGATAGGCAATGGGTAGTAATAGATGGTAAAGAGGGAAGAGGTGAGCGAGTGACATGCCTCTTACCATTTCTATTCTATTAGAAACACATGTTTTGAGCATTTTGAAGGCAGATTTTATTAATGCCAGTAGTGATATAAACCCCCAATGAAACTCAATTAGTCTATTGAAATTTCTTTTAATGAATAAAGAGTTCTTTGATAATTTGATTGCATTTTTATGGGACTGAAGGTCCCAACACAGAAATTCTGAACTGGTCAAATAAACAAACAGGAAATTCTAATCACAAACTTCATGCAGACACTATCCATAAAGAAGTTCTTGTTACTTACATGTGTACTTTTCCTACAAAAATATTGTCAATTGTTAAAAAATCTCAAAAAGACATTGTAGCCAAATAATTGAAGGATCAATGCCTTTTATGTTTGATTTAATATGCGAGCACGCATATAATGTGCTCCTAAATTGTCAATTTTGCTAATTTAGGAAAACAAACTGTCAAATATTCAAACTAAAAAAGAAAATAAATACTATGCTCCGGGAGCAAAATCTTGTAATAATTCTAAAATTCCAAAAAAATAAATACTATGCTCCGGGAGCAAAATCTTGTAATAATTCTAAAATTCCAAAAAAAAAAAAAAACAAGAGAAGGAAACTTTTAATAAGTGATGGTTCGTATGAGCATGATGGTCCTTAGGGACCATCACTATTTTCAAAAGCTTTTGGTTCAAAGCTTTTGCTGCCTTGCTCTTGCCACGTCCACTAAAAGACGTGGGCTTTAAGCGTTTAAAGTGTAATTTAATGGTTACACCTCATGTGTGAGGTGTAACTTAATAAAAGAATATAATATAGTATCCTAAGAATTTAAATACGAGAGGCGAGGACTCCCACCCTAGAAAATTTTGAGGTCTCTCTCTAGCCGAATTTTTATCGGAAGCTCCCTCTCAAATATTTTAGGTAAGTGATTTCATTATCTTGAAAAATAATCCGTTCTTTTTAAAAAAATGAAATGAAATAATTACTTCTACTTATTATCATGAATTTTAGGCGCGATAAATTTTATGTGCAAGTGACCTCATTATTTTGAAAATAATCTTTTTAATAAAATTATAATATTAGAAATTTTAAATGCTGTAAATTCTTAGAAATAAATATATTTATTTATTTTGTTAGAAAATTTTAGAAATAAAATTATTAGAAATAAATGTGATATTTCTGCTGCTAGTAAAATTATGAGATTTCTTTCTACTGTTTTTAAATATTTAGACATTGTAAATTTCACGTGCAATGACTGCCTTATTATTTGAAAATTGATATTTTTGCGATTGATTATAGCATTGTTGTGAAATGTTTAACTGCGAATTGTCATCTCATAAATTGTGACAATTCCGTATTTTTGAAATTCTATAAGAGTTTTTCTATACATATTAAATTGGCAATTATGCTAGAATGTATTTATGAACTGCTACCTTTCTAAATTTGAGCTCAAAATATTTGATTGGTTATTTTTGAAATGTTATTGAAAGTGACTGTTATTAATGGTTTCAGTGAAATTCATATTAATGATTTTAGTGAAATTCATATTAATGATTTCAGTGATATGTTGAGTACATGATATTGTTGCTTTCAAATGTTTAAAGAGATGTAGAAATACTTTAAGTATGCAAGTGGACTCATCCGGTTCGCCGGTGAGGTATAAGTGGACCTATCCGGGACGCCGGTAGGTATTAAGTGGACTCATCCGGTATGCCGGTGAGGTATAAGTGGACCTGCAGGGATTAAGTGGACCTATCTGGGACGTCGATAGGGATTAAGTGGACCCATCAGGAC